AGAATCCAACATTAAGTCAAAAATAGATAGAACACCACATGGACAGGATGCAGCATCTCCAAAAGGTTTATCCTAAAGTTCAACCCAAAGAACAATAACAACCTCACTCAACTCTAACAAAGAATACTAAATTTATGAAAGAGGTTAAAAGGAAAACCTTTGCTTTTGATAATGATTGGAAGTTTCTCCAACTAATTCTTCAGTCACGGAAGTAATTAGCAATGTAAGAATATCAGATTGGAGTGCAAAAAGTATTATATTATGTTTGAGGCCTGCAAGTGAACAACAGGTCTTGCTCAGGCTGAAGATCATTGCAAGTTTGCAACATATAATTTTTTAACCCAATTAGGAGGATGAACTATATGAACTGGTATATTTACCATTCAAGTTCTCTGGAGACTAAGAAAGGGTGTCACTAGTAAACTAGGCTACTGTAGATGGACTTGCAAGCTTATATTTAGCAACACACAGGAAGATGTTTAATGTGGTATTATATTTTCACACACAAACTATAGAAGAATCAATTCTTCTAGATACCAATGTTCACAAATATGGCACATGGACTGTAAACATTTACCTGTGAAATAGATTCAGGAACTGTCATGGTCCAGACAATTGATCTTTCAACAGGATTTGATGTTACACGGTATCTAAGGCCTTTATCAGCCAACCTTGAAAGTAAATGTCCTATTATCAAGAAACTAGAGCACTTCTCAATGTATAGCCAGATTTTTTTCTAATAAGTCTTATGTAGTAAAAACAATCTAAGAAGGGCATTGAGAATGTCCTTACCTCCAACAAATCCTGATTCAACCACCTTGGTGTCAATTTCAGCAACGATAGATTTAAGTGCAAACTTCCTCTTTTCCCACTACTGTTTCTCTTTCTGCAGCTTTTTCAACTCCACAGCTTCAGGTTTCTGAGCTGCCTTGTGCACCTTCTCTTGATGCATGATGGATTTTAATCAGTTTACTTATGCAAAAAGGAAATGCTAGAATATTATTTTAAAAAATCAAAAAGTAATAACCTCCTTCTTCAGCTTCTTTTCTTCCGTCAAGTGAGCCCATTCCTTCTCTGTCATCATTTGCTTGTTGTGGCTCCATCCCTAACATTTCTCTTGTTGGAGCTAAGTAGCTAACTTTACCTTTTTTGTTCTGTTTTGGTATATCATCCATCTGCCCCATGCTAAAATTGCCTTTCTTTCAATCATCAATTAACTGATTCAATGTCATTAAATGATTAAAATCAGTTCTAAATTACAGGTTTCTTCTTTTGTGTAATTAATTCAATTTCTTTCAACAACATCTTGAAAAGGACTGACCATCCTAACAGTACAGTTATGGCACTAAATAAAAACATGAATTTTACAATGACTTTTATTTGAACCAATATGTATAGGAGGGTAGCTGTCCAATTAATGTTAATTTAAACCACGTCAAAAACTGCTTGAGGTCACTGTTCACCAGTTAACTGAATCTCTAAGGGCATGTTTGGAGGGCAGGACGGGGATTGTATGGGATAAAATTAATGGGAAGGGATTAGATTGAATTGGATTGGAAAAAAAATAAAAATCTTATAGTTTGATATTTCATAGGACTGGATATAGAATTTGTCTTATACTTTGTTTGACAATCGATAAGATTCAATGGGATAATCTTCACAATTTATGTATGGACAAAAATGTCCATAGTTCATAATATTTAAAATTTTTCAAAGTTACTAGAACTTCTGTACATGAAAAAAAAAAATGTCCTTAAATCTAAAAAATATCTTAATTTATCAAATTAATTTATTAAAATATCTTGAAGGACAAAACTCGAGTAATATACATAAAAAGTTAATGTTGAAGTTGACGTACTAAATTCACCAAAATAATTAACATGAAAATTTGCCTAAATCACTTGTTGTATTTATGCCTAGATTGAAATACATAGATAAACCTTTGGCAAAAGATCTAGGCATACGGTACAAACTTAACACAAAGAGAAATATGATTGAATGAAGCTTCCTCTTAACAATTAAAATAATGTCTTTGTTCCTAGAAATATTAAAATAATTTGTTTGCTATAAATTTGCTACTGAACTTTTAGACTTGAACCTTGCTCTTGACAGTTTTGTTTAAGCTCAGTCAAATATCAATTTCAAATTCCCAAAAACCCAACCTGGTAAAGAACAAGAACCAACCTTATACAACCAAAAAAAAATGTGAAAGCACGAAAGGCAGCACTGAAAAATTTGGGGGGATCAAGAAAAGGGTAATAAACAACCAATCCATGTAATCAATAAAAATATATGGTTTCACATTTGATGGCTAATTAACTTTAAATACATGTCTATTAGCAAGGCAAATGTGCGTGCTGAATGGTGAAGCCATACATCTCCTGAAAGTATTCAACAAACTAACTTCATTGTTGAGTTGTCATCTACAGAAAACTTGAATAGATCACCACTACAAAACAAAATCTTTCATTTCCTCAGAAAAAGGAAAAATACAAGTATGCCTATGAAGATAAAGGATTAAACTAACTCGGCCAAGTACTTAGCCACTTGCCCTTTGGTGGGAACACGACCCCAGATTTTATGGTAGAGACCTGATGCAATGCTCATGATTAGACACAAAATAAGGCACATAGTTAGTCTAGCACCAGTCCATTAAACCATTATTGATTCCATCAACAGAGAATGCAGACCACCATTTAATCAATGACATTTTTTTGATTCATATATCATAACTCTTGATTTCATGAAATAAACAATAATTCATATATCAACTTTAGAAAATTAAAATTCACTCAAGAAAAGAAGTGGTAGAACACACTAAAAATACAGAGCATTCCCAGTACTTGATTAAATCATATTTTAATAAAACCATTAAAAAAACCCCACAAGTTATTTTCAATCTTTTTAGAAGTCCAGATACATCTAGACAAACAGGAACTTCAGAAGCATCAAAAAATAGGGGAAACAACCCACAATCATATAAGCATAATTTAATTCGAAAAAGCATTTAAGCATATAAATTATATTAACATAGGAATACCAAGCATTATATGAATCACAATCCACACAAATAAGAGTAGGCTCACCGGAATGAAAGACGAGACTAGCAGATCGTTGTCGGAATAGCTGCGCATGAGAGAACGAAAGTGGATCTGAGTTACCATTAATGGTGAAAAGAAAAAGAAAAGATGGTTCTGAGACTTACTAACCTATTCAAAAATAATGAAAAGCCACTCAAATCAGCACAAATCCAACATAAATAAATTTCATTATTAGTTTGTTTCCAGTTCTGTGGAAAACATAGAAGGAAAAACCTAATACAAGTGAGAAAAAAAAAAGGATCAAGATGATGCAACATTAAAACTCAAGCCAGAAGCCTTCCACTTTTGCTCCGAGATCTGGTCAAAACGTGCAGACATCTCAGGTGTCAAGTAATTCTTCCAATCTCCGACTGCGCCTTTTCTGAAGAATGACCGGTTTTCGATCTCGAACTTGTCCAACATGTTATACTTTCCTGTTTTATTCACCTCTAGATTGCTCAACTTCTCAAAGCTACAGAGCTCCACGACTTTCTGCACCATGCCTCTGCTCTCTTCCTCTAATGTAAAGGGATACCCCATGAACTCAGCCAATCTCTTCACATGAAAAACGGGGTTGCTCTTGATATCTTCATACTTCAAGAAAAGTACCTTTTCAGGCATTTCCAAGCTTGCATTCCAATACTCCAAGACATGATCCCAGTAAGGCCCCTGGAAGGACAATCCTTGGCAGAACAACTCAACTGCCTCCTCCAGAGGAAATGGATCGGTGCCCTTGGGGATGTTGCTGTTAACAAAATGCCACAGAGAAATGAAAGTATCCTTGGGATCCCTGCAAATGTAAACAATTTTGCAGCCTGGTGTGGTGATGACGGATTTTGGTAAGCAACTGAATGAAGTGTGTGTGGCGAGGAGAGGAAGGTCTGGACTTCTGCAACTTTTGTTTTGGATGAAAGAAAACTCAATCCAGACGGGGAGACACTCGTGCGCGACTTTGGTGAGTAAAGGGCTGTTGAGATGGTCGTAGCGGTTTCGAGTGACAATGGCAAAACCGAGGGCCTTGAGCCATGTTGTGCCTGATTTAGGGGAGCTGCTTAAAATGATGTCAGTCGGTTGAGCCTGGAAGTGCTGTTGTGCTAGTATGACTCCCTCAAGGCCGATGCGACCGACCCAGAAGCCCTGGTATTGACAGAGGTGTTTAAAGAGAACCAGGCCTCGTGCTCTAGGGAAGGAAGAGATCAACTCCTGCACCTCCTTTGCGGGGAAGCTTTCCTTTTCTTCTCTTTCAAGGTGATTGTGGTCCATGACTTTCGAAGAAGATAAACCAGCTGGATGCACCGTGCACTTTTGTTTTCAAGCGAAAACGAGACAATTAATGGATTTTATCTTAAGTGTGAGCAAAATCAATCCCAATACTGTTCTTTTTTTATTTTAATGGTTTGGTGTCCAAGTCAGGGTCACATCTTATGTTAATTTGGTGTAATACAAAAAATTTATCTTATCCTAAAATAAAACTTGAATTTTAAATTTATCTTGCAAAATATTTTACTTATTAACTAATTTAACTTTAAAGGATAATCATTTTCTTCTTGATTACACAAATTTTATGTATTGTTCTAAATCTGATCAGTTGCTTCGGCCAAAATATACCACCAAAATAATTACTACCATCTAATATAAGTTCAACTTGATCATTAAAAATTGCAGGTTTAGCCATTGTGTCCACAAAAATGAATCCTTATTTGTATTTCAATACCTGAAAATCTAAAGTCAACACCACGTGAAACAAGAGGGATAGGGCGCGCAAATTGAGAAAGGGAAAAAAAAAAAAAAAAGGAGAGATAGAAGAAGAGGAAGAAGAAGTAATCCTGTTATTGGCATTCGACCCAACAAATTGAGCAAACAGTCCATGCACGCTTGTACCTTTCACGTACCTAATTCTATTGCAACTATCTGTTTAAATTCTTTTGTACTGTAAGGCTTTATTTTGTTTAGTTGTTAGGGGAACAACAACTCATAATCAATATACTGTGATTGTGAGTGGCAAATTTTTTTACGCAGGAAACTAAACATATATAATATATGTCAATGTAAAATAACCAGTAAGAATTTGTTCATATAAGAGTTACACCAGTATAACATGATCAAGACTTACAAAATGGGAATCTGCAGGACAATTGACAAGATCGGATATCAATTATGTTAGTTGAAATAAAACTGATGCTGTTAAATGGTGACAAGAGCATATGTAGAAGAATTTTGGCATTGGGTAGGTCAAAGTTGGAAAAGTAGAGTGTAGTTATGGCCACCAATAGAATTATTAAGGCCACTAAATTCTTCTTTAGTTTGATTGATATTTATAATTTTTTCTTAAATATCAGTTTATAAACTGATTTTAATTTTTTAAATAATAAATATCAATTACTCTATTAGTTGTGATAGAAGAGTGAATTTTACTTAGATACTCAGTAGTAGCTAGTATTTTAATTATGTTAAATGTATTGGAGCCATGTGATGTAATTTTTCTTTTTGTGTTTTGGTAGATAGTGGTCAAAACCACCCAAGTTTGTATAATGTAAGAAACAATGATATCAAATGAAGATGTATGGTCATGTCTTCCATGTTTTCCCTCAATTTTTCTTCTCTATTTTGCCTCTTACAGTGAGCTTTCTGTGCTTATCCTCCTCTGATCTCCATCAAAGTTGTATCAAAGTTGTATTCTTAAGGGACCTTTGAGAGAGTGGAAACACGAGTGTATGTGAGGGAGTGTGCTATGTAATTAAAAATCACAACTATGTCTTCAAACAACCATGGAACTCTCTTTCTAATCCTCCGTTGATCACCGGAAAAAACTACAATGTTTGGGCAATCAAGATGAAGACCTTCTTGAGAGGTAATGATGTGTGGGAATCAGTAGAGAGAGGCTTTAATCCCCCATGGTTACCCTGGAATCCAAGTTTGGCTCAGATTAAGAACCATGTAGATTGTGTTGTAGGATCCTACAAAGCTTTGTCTTTCATACAAAGTGGGGTTTCTAATGAAATTTTTCCTAGAATTATGAGAGCTGAGACAGCTCAAGATGCATGGGAAACTTTGAAGAAGGAATATGGAGGAGATGAGAGAGTCAAAGGCCAAAACATGGTTACTCTCAAAAGAGAGTTTGCTATGTTGAAGATAAAGGATATAGAGACTGTTCATCAGTATTCTTCAAAGGTGATGGATCTGGTTAATGAAATTAGATTAAATGGTGAAGACTTTCTTGATGCCATGGTTGTGTAAAAAATGTTGGTGAGCCTTCTTAATAGGTTTGAGTAAAAAATCTTTACAATTAAGGAGTCTTATGACTTAAAGGAGTTGACAGTTGTTGCATTAATTGGCAAGTTGCAAGCTTATGAACAATGGGTTGTCCTAAGAGTTGAAGATACAGCTAAAGGTGCATCCCAAGCTAAGGAAAAGCAACATGCAGCTGGTCATGAAAGAAGGCAGCCTCCTAGTAGAGCTGAAAAAGGAAAAGTTGTTGATATTCAATCACAACAGCTAAAGGACTAATTTCCATCATGTCTTACTTGTAAGAGGACAAATCATGAAGAAAAAGATTGCTAGTATAAGGGAAAGCATCAAGTACAATGCAGATTTTACAAGAAGTTCGGTCACATTTAGAGAAACTGCAAAACCAAGCAAAATCACTATAGGCCAAAACAAAAAACTCAACAAACACATTTCACTGATGATTATGGTGAAGAACATCTGTTCATGGCCTGGCATGGTAACTCCTCTAGTAACAAGAACTCATGGCTTATTGATAATGGCTGCACTAGTCATATAGTGAAAAACAAGGACCCTTTTATAAAGCTAGAAAGTTTATTGGGGATTAAGGTCAAGTTGGGCAATGGCTCCATGGTTCAATTAGATGGAAGAGGCATAGTGGATATTCAATCAAAGAGAGGTACCAAATACATCTCAATGTTCTTTACATACCTTTTTTTAGCAAAAATTTGCTCAGATGTTGAGGAATGGTTATTCATTATCATTTATGCATGATTCCTGTCACATTTATGATCCTAATGGTGCTGAATTGGCTAGAGTTGATATGGTTGATAATTGTTTTCCATTGCTTTTGAAATCTCCTGTACAATCCATGTATGTTTCTAAGGTTGACAACACTAATTTATGGCATAGGGGATATGGACATTTTAATGTCAAGTCTCTAAAATTCATTCAATCTAATGAATTAGTTAGAGACATGTCTGAGATTTATTTGAATGATGATGTTTGTAGGAGTTATCAATATGGAAAGTTGCATAGACAATTCTTTCTCGTGAATCTGTCATAAAGAGCTAAGCATAAGCTTGAGCTAGTGCACACAGATGTTTGTGGGCCAATTAAGACAGCATCTCTTAACTAGAATGTTTATTTTTTGATATTTATTAATGATTTTACTAGAATGACATGGGTTTATTTCTTGAGTAACAAATCTCAAGTCTTCTCTGTGCTCAAGAAATTTAAAGCCCTTGTTGAAAAACAAAGTGGATGTCAACTCAAGACTTTCAGGTCGAACAATGGCAAAGAGTATAGCTCCTCTGAATTTGATAAGTTTTGTGAAGATACCAGTATAACTCATCAATTAACAATCCCATACACTCCACAACCAAATGGGGTTGTTGAAAGGAAAAATAGGACTATTATGGAAATGGCAAGATGCATTTTATATGAGAAAAAAATGCCTATGAATTTCTACGCTAAGGCTATGAATAGGGTAGTATATTTTCTGAATGGACTCCTTACAAAAGTAGTGGAAGGAATGACTCCAATTGAAGCTTGGTATGGCCTTAAACTTTCTACTAATCAAGGTTTTTGGTTCAATATGTTGTTGTCATGTGTTATATGTTAAGAGAACCAAGCTAGACGCAAAGGCACAACTTGGTATATTTGTGGGGTATGCTACAGAATCCAAAGGCTATACAATTTATAACATGGCAACCGAGAAAGTTACTGTTCACAAAGATGTACAATTTGATGAGAATGCATATTTGGATTGGAATAATAAGGAAGTTGTCAAGGCTACTGTTGTAAATAATGATATAAAAGCTTCCAAAAAGGTTGATCAGAATTCATTTGATGATTCAAAAGTTGTTGGTATTGATGCTTATCAAGATACTCTTGTACTGAAAACTAGAAAGTTGTCAAATATTTATGAAAAGTGTAATTTGGCCATGTTAGAACTAGGTACTTATTCTGAAGCTTCACAACATGAAGTCTAGATTCAAGCAATGCAGGAGGAGATAAACATGATTAATAAGAATGGCACTTGGGAATTAACTTATAAGCCAGCACAGAAGTAGGTGATATGGGTCAAATGGGTTTATAGAACTAAAATGAACCCAAATGGCTTAATTCATAAGCACAAAGCCAGGCTTGTAATGAAGGGATATGCTCAGCAACCAAGGGTTGACTATGGTGATACCTTTGCTCTTGTTGCTAGACATGATATAATCAGATTGCTGCTAGCCTTATCTGCATGTATGGGTTGAAAGCTATACCATATGGATGTTAAATAAGCTTTTCTTAATGGTTATTTACATGAGGATATCTTTGTTGAACAACCATAAGGCTTTGTAATTTCTAGATAGGAAAAGGTTTACAAGTTGAAAACACTATTTATGGGCTTAGCTTAAACAAGCTCTAAGATCATGGTATAGCAGAATCAACTCATTTCTAGTGCAGCAAGGTTTTATTTGAAGTGAGAATGAGCCAACTCTTTATGTGAAGGTCTCCAAAGGTGAGTCTTCTACGCAAATGACTACTAATCATGATGCTAAGTTGCTAATTTCTTTGCATGTTGATGATCTTTTAATTACTAGAAACAACTTACAATTACTGCAACATTTCAAGTCTCAAATGATGAAGGAATTCAAAATGTCTAATTTGGGACAAATGAGCTACTTTCTTGGCCTTGAGATGACTCAAACATATGGTGGGATTTTTGTTTCACAACAAAAGTATGCTCTTGATGTATTGAAGAAATTCAACATGGAAATGTGCAAGTTTGTTTAGACTCCACTTGTGCAAAATGGAAAACTAATGAATGATGATGGAAGTAACAAAGTTAATGCTTTACTTTTTAGAAGTTTGGTAGGAAGTCGTTTATTTTTAATTGCAACCAGACCTAAGCTTATGTTCTTTGCTAACCTCCTTTTGAGATTTATGCATTCTCCAAGTCAAGTTCATTATAGTGCAACTAAAAGGGTTCTTAGATACTTGAAGGGAATTGCAGATTATGGCCTTATGTTTAAGAAAAGCAATGTTTATGTTCTTGAAGGTCATGCAGATAGGGATTGGGTTGGATGTTTTGAAGATGCTAAAAGCACTATTGGATTTGTCTTTAATCTTGGTTCTGCAACTTTTTCATGGATTTCTTGGAAGCATGATGTGGTGGTTTAATCAACAACTAAGGCCGAATACATTGTAGTAGCTAAAGCAGCTAGTCATTCAACGTGGATTTGCAAAATGCTAATTGATACGGGTTGTCAACAAAATCAACCTTGTGTTCCTCATTGTGACAACAACTCAACAATTGTAATTGCACATAATCCAGTGCAACGTGGCCAGACCAAGCACATGAATGTCAAAGACCATGTGCTTAGAAGTATGGTGCAAAATAATGAATTGAAACTTGTCTACTGTAGGACAAAAAAGCAAGTTGCTGTATACTAACCAAAGCTCTTCCAAGAGCTAAGTTTGAAATGTTTAGAGAAATGCTTGAAGTATCTAAGAAAAATTTCAAGGAGGAGTGATGGAAGAGTGAATTTTACTTAGATATTCTATACCTAGTACTTTAATTATGTTAAATGTATTTGAGCCATGTGATGTAATTTGTCTTTTTATATTTTGGTAGATAGTGGTCAAAACCACTCAAGTTTGTACAATGTAAGAAGTAAACTTCATATTTTAGTCAATGATATTAGATGAAGACATATGGTCATGTCTTCCATGTTTTCTCTCAATTTCTTTTCTCTATTTTTCCTCTTACAGTGAGCTTTTTTTGCTTATCTTCCTCTGATCTCTATCAAGTTATTATCTGTTCTTAACAATTAAATTAAACAAAATCAATATTTTTTAAACAAAATTTTGGTGACCTTAACAATTCAATTAATGGCCATAACCACAACTAGAAAAGTAAACCACAATAATAAGGCAAAGTACTATTATTTCTTTCAATTGTTTGGCCTTGTAATTTATTGGAATACGAAATAGAAGAAATAGATGGTGCCAAACTTGCTTTACAGCTGTTTGAATCTATGAAGCTTGTTTTGATATGATGGCTCATTTCAAATAGTGTAGAAAGGGGGCATCATATCTCACACATGTATCATTGAGGAGTACCAATGAAGGTGGAAGTATAACAAAGAAACTTATAGAGGAATTTGATGCTAGATTAGCCTTTACTGTTTGCCAAATAAAAGAGATGAGCCTAGATATCCACTGAGTTCTTCAAAATTATTCGTGTTTGAACAAATCAGCACCATCCTCAACATCATCAGTTTTAATGCCTCCATTCTATGCCACAAGTATTATGTACACCCTCTTTGAACAAACCTCGCCCAACCTTCTCTCACTACAACTCCCCCATCTACGAGCAAGTCCTCCAACAAAAATTCCTTTTCATGAACCTGCCAATTTGATATGAGAACAAAATTAAGTAAAAAGGAACCATAGGAACAAAGAAAAACAACAATAACATGCTATTTGTTACAATGAATAGAAAAGGGAGAGAAGGGATAAGAGGAGATAAGGAATGAAACTAGTCTACCACTCTTTCATTTGGTTGAGAAAGGGAAAAGTAGAGGAGGAGCAAGGTTCAATTGAAATGTTTCAGTCAGTACATGAAATTTTCTTTTGCCTTCAAATAGGTGGGTTGTGAAGGACTTTGAAATAAAACTAATGCTCATGTAATCTTTAAATCAGTTTAAAATGTGCAAATACTTCACTTCCACTTTAATCCACTATGAGACAAATGTTAACACTTTCAAATCCCCTTAGCTTGTGTTTGGATAAACGTTAGTAAAGGAAAGGAAGGGAAAGGGAGGGAAAGGAAAGAGGCAAAGTGAAGGGTATGTAAGAGTTGATATTAGTTTTGTTTGGATAGATAAAAGTAAATGAGGGGAAAGGATAGTATTTTTATTTAATTAAATAATTTAATAAGAAATAAAGTAAAGAAGAATAAAATTTTTAAAATTTATTAATTAAATAAATAGTTGAAATAAATTGTTTATATTTATTTATTTTAAAAAATTAAAAATAAAAATAAATTAAGTAATATAATTCATCACAATCTTTTTAAATCGGAAGGATTGAAAACAGAGGAGGGGAAAGGATTCCATCTCCCTCCATCTTCCTTCCCTCCATTAAAATTATCTATCCAAATAGAAAAAGGTGCTCTCTCCCCTCACTCTCCTCTCATTCCTCTTTAACTTCCTCAATCCAAACAAAGTGTTACAGATAAATTCATTGCAACCAAACACTATAAGTGGTCTCAACTCTCAAGTCACTATCTTTTTTTCCACCCTTCCTTCCATACTAGTTTCTAGTGTCAGCTAAAAGAGATTATGAAAAAGGCTTTCATCATCTTCTAATATTAATTAATTCCCTTGATAGCAAATTTCACGATACCCCCTTTAAGTGCCATCAACACAGTTAAGGGTCCAAATATAAACTGAAGTCACAACATGAAGTGAGGTTGATCCAATTTTTTTTTTTTTTTTACAAGGGTAATGGTTAGGAAATTAGTATAAATTAGTTGTTAGCAACTGGTTCTCAGATCGGATAAACATTTCACCCCTTTAAATGAGGCATGTGACTATCAGGTCGTTTTTTAGTAAAGTTCACGACGGTGATGGAGCTCGAAACTCCAACCACCTCATCCAAACACTTAAGGTTTAGGATCGAACCATTGGACTTAAAGGCCCATTTCGAGGTTGATCCAATTGTCCATTTATATACTTAATATACTTAATATATGAGGTACCACAGAGCAGTTCAAATTTCAATAAATAAACATACCTAGCCCAAATTGAATACTATAACATAGGCTGGACCTCACATTAAAGTCAAAGCTTTTGTATCATCATTAAACGCAATGATATAGACATAGGCTTTTTTTCTATTTATTGAGTTACGAGGATCTATGTAAACTTGCAAAAGAGATTTCATGGTGGGGTACTTTTCCCTTATGTCTAGAGCAAATCATGGCTGTACCTTTGGAATGGCTAGCGAAGCTTTTAACCTGGATATGATTAGCACTGTCAGGAACAGTGGCGGAAGCATGTTGGCTCAGGATTAGGCATGGGCCTTACCCTGGGCCAAAAAATTTTGAAGAAAGTAAATGATCTAATTTTCTATACCCTATCTTGTAGTTGGTTGAATTTGAACGAAAATAAAATATTTAAGATTTTAAGAAATTAAAACAAAAAGAACACCAAAAGAAATATAAACTATTGAAGTGGAAAGAAAATTAGAAAAATAAATAAGTAACCCATACCTTAAATAACTAAAATACAAGAGAAGAATAGATTTAATACCTTGAAAAATGTTATTGCCAAATTTATTTCTCCTTGTAGCAAACCAATACAAATGCTTTGATTCATAATTTCCAATGGTTATAATTTCCTTCTTTTCCACTTTTAATTGTTTTTTTTTTTTCTCTTTGTTTCTGGCTACCTCCACTTTCATAACTTTGTTCAAGTGACTTACACTCTTAAAATTAGTAAAACTCATTTTTAAAAAGTTAAAATTTTATTTTATATCCTCTCAATTAAATCCCTTAAAAACCAAGAGTATCACCCAATACAAATTTCTCAATATTATCCCATAATTTATCTAGATTAGCTTCCAATACACCATCCAACTAGACCCTCACAAAACTTCTAAAAGAGAACCTACACAAATCCTTCTTAATTCATTACAATAGAGGAAGATTAAAGGAGGATTGAGGGTTTGATTAGGTTTAGGTGTCATTGGAGAAGAAAGAGAAATTCATATATTTTAAAAGAATACTATAGTTACAATGCTAATCATGAAGTGCCATTAAATAAGTATAATATAATATTAAATATGTATATATATAATATTATAAGTAAACTCTAAATAAAAAAACTAATTATATAATGATATATAATATTATAAATTTATAATATCAGATGATATTGTAACTATAGCATTTTTGATATTTTAATCTACTAAAATGGAATA